AATAAAAGCTAAAACGAAGGAAAAGAAGATAACAAAATAGTTACTACAGTATTTGACAGCAGGAGCGTTTAGGTTTGGATCTCAAAACTCATCCATTAGCAAAAACATAGATTAAAAAAATTATAAAAATATGATTTGAAATATGATTCTATGTCTGATGAAAAGGGAAGAAAATCCATGAGCAGAGCACTGTGACCTTCATCCTGAGACTAGCACACACACACGCGCGCGCGCGCGACAGAGAGGATTATGGGAGATTGTGCTGTATGCAGAGATGTTTCTCGTCACAGGTTTACGCTCATGGTCTTATTACTGTGTTTATGGAGTCATGTTAATAAACCCCCTCTCCCTCCTTTTGTTCTGAGGTCAAAGGTTACTCTGGACGTTACGGTCGAGCTGAACATTGTTTATTAAACAGTTGAAAGGATTCATTGACTGCTGTCATCTTTTCACACACATTATTACTTTAAGCTCTTAGCAGATTACTTATGAGTACAAAACAAATTTGGATAAATTATTTATAGAAATGTTTGTTGTCATATATTGCTATTAAATATTAATACTATACTGCATATTAATATTCAGTACTGTAAAAGATTATTAAATCCACCCCCTCCCCTCTTCATTGAAGAATTGAAGACCCAACCACGACAACCCCACCTTATTTTTCAAGATTCTAAATTAATATAAGCAATAAATAATAATAATAATAATAAAAAACGTTACAATAGGTTAAGTATCGTGAAATGTAGTTTTTGCAAAATACCAAATTATTGCTGTCATTACATTTAAACGAATGGCAACATGGTCATTTAGTATCATTTAGTTGATGTTATAAGTCCTTGGAGGGGCTAGGTGTCCTCTATTTAAAGGTGTTGGGTCATCTGAAGTCTTCGTAAGAGGCTGGATCCAAGCTGGAGCTGCCTTAAAGGGGTCATATGATGTTGCTAAAAAGAACATTATTTGGTGTAATGAAATGTGGTTTAAGGTTCAAAAAACACATTATTTTCCACATACTGTACATTACTGTTTCTCCTCTATGCCCTGCCTTTCTGAAACACGTCGATTTTTACAAAGCTCATCGGTCTGAAAAGCGAGGTGTGCTGTGATTGGCCAGCTATCCAGTGCGTTGTGATTGGCCGAATACCTCAAGCGTGTGACGGAAATGTTACGCCCCTCACCATACTGTGATGCCATGTACCCTGGCGCGATGAGACAACACCAATAAAACGAAACACACAGCGCCTTCACGACATGGCGGCAACAACAATACTACAGCGAGAATCAAAGTTAAGCCACCTTTCTTTTTGGGCGGCGTTATGCAAATCTTCCCACATAGTGACGTAGAAATGTGGGGGCGTGTTTAAACGAGGCGTTTTAGGTAGGTGTGGACCAGTCTTAACTTTTATAAAGAATATCTCTTTGGATTTGAGACTTTAGTCTTTGCAACTTTACAGATCTTCTTTATGCACCAAGAGCTTGTAACACTCCAAAGAGAAAGGAACAATTGAAATCGCATCATATGACCCCTTTAATATTCTTACAGTCATTTTCCCTGATATATTGGTGCTATTTTATGGAATGCCAAACCTGCCTAAATTAGAAATAAATATACAAAGAAAAGTAAAAAATAAATAAATTACAGATCTTCTTTATGCACCAAGAGCTTGTAACACTCCAAAGAGAAAGGAACAATTGAAATCGCATCATATGACCCCTTTAATATTCTTAGTCATTTTCCCTGATATATTGGTGCTATTTTATGGAATGCCAAACCTGCCTAAATTAGAAATAAATATACAAAGAAAAGTAAAAAATAAATAAATTATTTATTTATTTTCACATTTATGTATTTATTTACGTATTTATTTCTTTATTTATTAATTTCCGCATTTATTTATTTATACATTTCTTCATTGGTAAGGTAATGAGGAGGGCGTGTTTTACCTCAGGAATAGTAATCGAGTAGGCGAGGAGAAAGCTTTGAGACCACAGTGACACCTTGTGTAGCCTGCCCTACATGACATGCCTGTTGATAGTGTGTGATGAATGAGTTAGATGGATAATATGGCCAAAATCTTATATCACTGGTTAAGTCATTTAATATCACCCTAACTGTACTGGGTGACATGGATACATATACTCATTATTTCCTACTTTTACATGCAAAAAATGTGACAAATGCTTAAAATACAATGCATATTTTAAAGATTCGGTATAGAAGGATCAGTCACAGCATCAGCTGATTATAATGGGTTCTCTCAGTGTAGACACGGCTTCAGATGCAGATTAATCACACGTTTTAGCCGGAGTCATCAACTGGAAATATCCAGAATTAGATCAAACAAAAGGTGTCAATGGGAACAGAGCTAGAGTATATGAAGAGTTCAGATGCAAAAGCCTATTTTTTTCTTTAAAATATTCCTTTTACAGTGAAAAATTACAAGAGTATTATTATTATTATATTTTTCTAGTTTATTTTACAGTGAAAGCTTACAATAGTATTATTTCTTGTGTTGTTTAATATTTGCATTTACTATTAACAATAACATTTATAATATAAATTATTATTTTATTAAAATATTTTAACAAATATATATATATATATACAGTATCTCACAGAAGTGAGTACACCCCTCGCATTTTTGTAAATATTTTATTATATCTTTTCATTCCAGAGGTTGTGTTTGAGAAATAGACGTATGAGTGCTGCCAGCATTGCTGCAGAGGTTGAAGGGGTGGGGGGTCAGCCTGTCAGTGCTCAGACCATACTCCGCACACTGCCTCAAATTGGTCTGCATGGCTGTCGTCCCAGAAGGAAGCCTCTTCTAAAGATGATGCACAAGAAATCTCACAAACAGTTTGCTGAAGACAAGCAGACTAAGGACATGGATTACTGGAACCATGTCCTGTGGTCTGATGAGACCAAGATAAACATATTTGGTTCAGATGGTGTCAAGCATGTGGGGCGGAAACCAGGTGAGGAGTACAAAGACTGTGTCTTGCCTACAGTCAAGCATGGTGGTGGGAGTGTCATGGTCTGGGGCTGCATGAGTGCTGCAGGCACTAGTGTAATCTATTAACTATATGCAAAAAAAAAAACGTTTTACTTAATTACCAGATATGGGTGTCATGTCATAAAATGTTTTAATACGACTGACTTTGTCTTTAATGTGAATTTAATCGATCCATTTTAAGTTACTAACTATAGGCTAACACTTTCATTGTACAGAATGACAGCAAAGATCATTTACATTATTAAAGAACATTATTGACTTCAGTCTAGCCAGAGTTCAAGCACTCTCAAAAACTCCCATTATAATCACTATCAAATTGGTCTGCATGGCTGTCGTCCCAGAAGGAAGCCTCTTCTAAAGATGATGCACAAGAAAGCCTGCAAACAGTTTGCTGAAGTCAAGCAGACTAAGGACATGGATTACTGGAACCATGTCCTGTGGTCTGATGAGACCAAGATCAACATATTTGGTTCAGATGGTGTCAAGCGTGTGTGGCGGCAACCAGGTGAGGAGTACAAAGACAAGTGTGTCTTGCCTACAGTCAAGCATGGTGGTGGGAGTGTCATGGTCTGGGGCTGCATGAGTGCTGCCGGCACTAGTGTAATCTATTAACTATATGCGAAAAAATTACTTTTTACTTAATTACCAGAAATGGGTGTCATGTCATAAAATGTTTTAATACGACTGACTTTGTCTTTAACGTGAATTTAATCGATCCATTTTAAGTTACTAACTATAGGCTAACACTTTCATTGTACAGAATGACAGCAAAGATCATTTACATTATTAAAGAACATTATCATTGACTTCAGTCTAGCCAGAGTTCAAACACTCTCAAAAACTCCCATTATAATCACTGAAGCTGTTTACACTGTGAAATAAATTACGCACATCTGCGCTTGTTGATTCTGATGAGAGAATTAAAGGTGGGGTAAGTGATTTCTGGTAGCCAATGTTGATATTTGAAATCACCAAAACAAACACGCCCCTACCCCAAAAGGGTCTTGGCCCTATATTGATAGCTCCGCCCCACATATACGTATGCAACCCAGACAATGATTAGTTCTGTGAAACAAAGCAAAACCAATGTTACACCGT